TGCCCCAGGAGGGACTGGAGCAGGCTGTGGGGTTAGCACTGCCTCCCTCCAGGATTGCATGCCAGGAGGATGGATCTCAAGTGAAAATGGAGGAATATCTAGGCTCCATTCCTGCCACACTTGGGAATGCCTCACTATCATGAAGACATGAAAATGTGGCAGGGGAGGTTTAGGTTGGATATGAGGAAAATGTTCTTCACCCAGAGGGTGGTTGGGTGCTGCAACAGCTCCTGAGGCAGTGGTCATGGCCCCAAGCCTGACAGAGCTCAAGGAGGGCTGGGACAACACTCTCAGGCACGTGGTGGGATTGTTGGGGTGTCCTGTGCAGGGTCAGGAGTTCAACTGGAAGATCCTTGTGGGTCCCTTCCAACTCAGGATATTCTATGATTCTGTGATCCCCCAGCAGTTACCACACCAGCTGGTTCAGGAACTCACACTCCTAGTTCCTCAGTGTTAGAGTAACTAATAAGTTAAACTAATTTGTGGATGTTAACTTAATGGACTACATTATTGCTGATGCAGAGGACACGCTGGGTGAGAGCAGACGTTTGGGGGCTGGCAGGGATCCCTCCCTCTGCTCTCTCTCTGCCAGCTGAGTTCTCCTCTCACAGAGAGGTTGCTCCAACCCACTGCTGTGGCTGTGCAGCATCCCGTGATGGATCCTGGGATGTTCCTGCCTTGTCTCACCCTGCCAAAGATGCCACACGCTGACACCTTTCCTGACTGGCACCTTTCTCTGCACCTATCCAAGAAACATGAAAAAAGCAGAGGAGGATTCTCTTAGGGTTTAAAATAAGTATTTTCAAGTCTGCACCAGCAGGAGCCTCACTGAGGTGCAGTGGTGGGGCAAAGGGTGGCAGGGTGGGGGAGAGCAGCCTCAAAAACACCCTCTACACTGGAACTGCAGCTTTTCATACCTGTCAGGATGTGGATTTTCAGCTTGAGCACACAAGGCTGAGCTCAGGGGACACTGTCATATAGATTTAGGGTTTTCTCTCCTTTCCTCTCCATTAGCTGTGATACCTTCTTATTATGCTGAAAACCAAAACTTCTTTTCCTCTAGTGGTTGTTCCCTTTCCCATTTGGCAAATATTGATCTGTCTGTGTCCTCAGTGTGGGTTCAGAGCCTCCCCTCAGCCTCAGCCTGCTCGTGGGGCCGAGTGCGTGTCGGTGCCACCTCTCATGCCATCAGGGGCTGGAGCAAAGGACAGGGAGGGAGATGTTCATCCATTTGCACATGTTTTTCCCTCCCCATCCTCTCCCTCCCTGTGCTGGTGGTGACAGAGAACTGAACAGGATGGGGCTGATTGTCCTTGACAGGTGGAGAGGGAGTGGAAGGAGCAGGGAGAAAAAGAGCAGCCCAGGATAACGATGAACTTCTCGCAGCCTTGTTCCACATTCACATCCTGCAGCACCTTGGGAGAGAGCTCTCCAGTCAGGGGACCAAAAGCTGGAGGCTGCCCTGTGCAGGAGGCTGCCCCCACTTACCTTGCGGTGTGATTTTAAGCCAATTTAATTAAATTGCTTGGCAAGGTGGCAAGGACTCATCTATTTCAGCTTGAGCCAGGCCTGTTTTGATTTAGTGTTGGCTGATTAGGAATTAGTGGAAACAAACCACTCAGAAAACAAAATTAGAGGGTGCAGGCTAACTTTTGCACCAGATTAAGTTGAATTAAAAAGCAATTGAAATGTAATTTTCCTGTCTCAAGCAGCCAAGAAACAAGATAATGCAACCAGTGGCACTTGAAGCTTAAAAATACAGCAGCTAGGATTAGCACAACTGGCTTTTAATGCCTGCAAACAACAGATTTATTTGGAGGTCTCTCTCAAACCTCCCCCACCACCTTCCACACAAAGCTTTGAACATCTCGTTTGATTTGCCTTGACATGCAGAATTGGGGTGACCCTGGGATTTGAATCCATGGCTCAAAGCAGCCCGGGTATTGCACAGTGTGTCTCCATAAGTATTTCCATGCTGGAAATAACCACACAGTGAACTAGTTGTTCCCTGTAACTCCTATAGTTGAGTCTGAAATGGCTCTGTGTATGTGGCTGGCAAGGTGCAGAGGCCCAGAAAGCAGAGAGTGCAGACCCCAGCAGTGGGTGCTGTTCCCTCCTCCCTCCCAGCACCATCTCACTCCAACCTTCCTGCAGCTCTGAATTTCTCTGCTCCCTATGTCCCATGCAGGAAAAAAAAAAGATGTCAAGTAGTTTAAAGTCAGGTTTTAATTAAATATTTTAATAGCTGCTTTCCTTTACCCATTTGGGAAATGCTGCTCCTCCCTTCCCCATCGGCTGGGCCAGGCTGGCACCTCTGCACACACAGAGCTGTACAGAGAGAGGTTTTCAGGGATTTGCTAAAAAGGATGATGGCTTGGAGGGTGTGCAAAGACAGGATGTCTTCAGCACATCAGAGTCCTCAAAACTGCCCGAGGTGCTGCAGCCAAGCTGTTGCAGTGGTGGCTTTGGGGACAGGGATGCTGCTGTCCCAGTTGGCTGGAGCAGTGGCACACGCAGGAGGACAAGCTGTGCCAGCAGCAAGAGCATCAGCACAGGACTGGGGTTATGGCTCTGTGGATAAGAGCCTGGAGGAGAGGAGACTGAGGGGGGATCTCATCCCAGTCTGTAACTTTCTCACAAGGGGCAGCACCAGTCTCCTCTCTGGTGACCAGTGACCGCACCTGAGGGAGCAGCATAGAGCTGTGTCAGGAAAGGGGTAGGTTGGATTTTAGGAAAAGGTTTCTTTCCCCAGATGGTGTCTGGGCACTGGAACAGCTCCCGAGGGCAGTGGTCACAGGACCAAACCTGACAGAGCTCAAGGAGTATTTGGACAATGCTCCTCAGGCACATGGTGAGATTCTTGGGGATGTTCTGTTCAGGTCCAGGATTTGGACTCGATGATTCTTGTGGGTCCCTTCCAACTCAGGATGTTCTGTGATTCTATTCTATGATTGCAAATGATCTCTTGACTGATGGCGACTGTGATAAGCACAGAACACAGAACATGAGCTACCCAGCAGCTCCTGGCCAAACTCTAAAGGACCCATGAAGATAACAGGCTCCTGATGGGTTTCTCTCTATGCCACCTCTCACCTGTCTCAGTCAGCAGATCAGTGCCTGATGATGCTCAAAGTTTCTTAATCTTGTCTTGGCTCACTTGCAACCTCTGTGCAGACAATTCCACTCAGCTGCCTCCTGGCTCTGTAGTCCTGGGCCCTGCTAACCAAAGGTGTCTGGTCTCCTGGCCTGCAGCACCACAGCTACCCAGACAAAAGAGAAGACATGTCCAGACTGCCTGTCCCCTGCACAATAATGGAGTGGCAGTGCCCAGAGTGCCCCTTGTGTCACAGGACAGTGTAGGGATACAGGCTGGCATCACCCATGAAGGGTCTGGGCAAAACCAAGGAGTTCTGAGGGGCAAGTGGTGGCCCAGCAGAAGAGCATCCATCCCCATCCATCTTCCTCCAGGGAGCAGCTGGAGATAATGGGGGGGCTGTCCTGGAAACAGCCAATCACGGGGAGGAGCTGGAGGGTATGAGGCTCCATGGGGGCAATAAAAGAGGCAGTTGAGGGGAGGGAGGCATGAGAGAGAATTGAGGTTTGTTTTTGTGGGTTTTTGAGCTGGTGGGTGGCTGTTTATTTTGTTATACCCTGTAGTGAGGCTTCTGACAGGGCTCTCTAGGCTGTTTGGGGCTCTGCTGGGTTTTCTGCTTGGCTGATGTCAGTCAGTGGGGGAGTTGTGGTGCCCTTCTGCTCAGATGAGGGTGGAGGAAGCTTCCAAAAAGTAAGCCTTTTGGGGGTATCACTGTTTTTATCTGTTGAGGAAAGGAAGCTGGAGCAGACCTTGAGGTACAAGTGTAGGGCTTAAGGCTTATGGTGGGATGTTGGTTTAAGCCAAGTAGTGGCTTATCCTGGCCCCTCTGTGAGCTGGAGAGGTCTGCAGCTGGGTGACTGGGTCGGAGAGGTGATGCTGCTGTTGCCTAGTCTTGTTATTAGGGCGGGAAAGAGGAGATAGAGAACTAGAAAAGAAAACCACCAAAACGTTAAATGTATCAATGTGGCATGAGGGAGCTCTTGGAGGCTGGTCAGAGCCACAGGTGTTGGCTGTAAGCCTGGAGGGAGGGTGAGGAGGCACCATCTGTCTGTGATTAGCCCCTGAGTGTGTTGATGCACAACTTGGGTTTAGGGGTCCTATGTTGGTGTCTGCTCTGGAAGCACCTCCACTTCTGCTGGGTAGGAGCTTTGTTTTCTCTGTCAAGAGCTGCCTGAAGGTCAACTCTTAGTTTTATTTGTGTGCATATCTGTGCCTTTCACTATGAGGTACATAAGAATTATTTTTACCTGTCCATATTTCATGTTGTTCCCCTGGCAATCCTTACTAGTTGCTGGGTTTCAGGAAAACTCTTTACTCAGTTGAACTTGGTCACTTCATGCCACTGCAGGTGACTGTGGGTCTTTCCTAGTTGGGGGTGCTGGTGTAGGAAGCCAAGTTGGGCTGTGTTGTAGGGTGGGAGAGGTTTGTTTGTGGCTACTTGTCCTGAAATCAGACCTTGAGCTGATCCTTTGGGAGGCAAGAGGCCTTGCCAGGCTTGGTCTGTGTGTCTAAGTAAACCTAAAAGCCTGGGGATCAGAGCTGGAGGAAGGTGGTGTTTCTATAATCGTGGGGTGTCTGTGTCTGGCTTCCCCATGGGATTACAGCAGCAGCTGTAACTTTTGCAGCCTGGTATTAAGTGATAGTTTGTGCTTCTGCTTAGTTCAGTGGCTCAGCTGCAGTGAGGATCCTATTGAGCCCTGCTTAGAGCAGGGAACCTGCAGCATCTCCTTTACTGGGAGTGTGGGGGGAAATATGTGGTGCAGGCTGCTGGTGGGACTGGGGGGTCTTAGACCCCTCTGTGGACAGAGGTGGATGCTGCTGAGCAGTTTTGATCTGACCCTGCTCTGTCCTGAACCCCAGAAGCACGTGAAGGCGTTCAGCTGAAACTTCTCTCGACCCTGCCAAGATGCCAGGCACAAAGCACAGTGACCACATGAATAAATTCAAGAACAAGGGCAAGGATGCAGCTGTGAGTATCTACCTCCTCCTGCCTGTGCCAGCCCCTTCAGGCCATGGCAGAGCCCACTGGGGTTTGCCTGTTAGAAGGAACTGATGGAAAGGCTTCTGAAGGTCCATGGCCCCCAAATCTAGCTGTATGGGGCAGCAGAGGGTGGGCAGGAGGATGGCTCTGCCAGTGGGGATGCTCAGGTGGCTTTTGAGATGTGGTGTGGTGCTGGCTGGGCTGCAAGGAGCATGGTGGTATGGGCAAAGGGGACATGAGTTTTGGTGGGTGACTCAGGGCTGGGCTGGTGAGTGTGCTGGGGAAGGGGGATGGCTCAGCCCCAGCCTGCTGAGCTTTCAGCAGCAGTTATCCCTGCGGAGCGGGGGCTCTTATGGGATGTCAGACCATGCGATCTGTCAGCTTGCTTTAAGCCAGTAAAGAAGATGAGGGTTTGCCTTTCAAGTTCAGCAAATCTACTTTTAACAACTCCCACTGGTTGCTGGTTCATCCAGCAGCCCATGTCCTTAGGAGGCACTAAAGGGAAGGTTTACTCTGTCCCATCTCCCACATCACTCTTGAGGCTATAACCAGCCTTCTCCCCTCCAGGCCCTGCGGAGGCAGAGGGTGGAGGTGAGCATCGAGCTGCGAAAGGCCAAGAAGGATGAGCAGATCCTGAAGCGCAGGAATATTTCCTTTGGTTTGGTGGAGCTGAAACTCTCTCCAGAACAAGACAAGCCAAATGAGGTGAGTTCTGAGTGCTCTGCACCTAAGCAGGATCAGTGCAGTAGGTATCATCCCCTGCTTGGACCACTACTCAAGTCTACCTGAGGTGGCCTGGGTTAAGTAGCCAGTGCCTTTCCTGATCACCATGCCCAGTGCTGGGGAGTGCTGCAGGCTGCCTGGCCTTTCTCTGTGCTATTTTTTCATGGAGGGGATGTCCTCTTGGCCTCCCTTGATGGCAGGTAGAACAGGCTGGTGCTCCAGCTTGCTGGGAGGTGGTGCAGCTCCTGTCTGGCTCCCTGCATAGCAAGGGGTAATTACTGAGCTCTCAGGCCCATTACGGTGTGTCAGTGACTCTTTCCGTGCTTGATTATAAGCATTAGTTGCCTTGAAGGCTTTTGTGGATTCTCTTCCTCTGCCTCATTTCGAAACTGCATTGCATAAGGAATAGACATTGCTTAGATATGAAGTGGTGACTGACTTGGGTCTAGACAGCTGATTGACTGTGGAGATTAAACCAGAGGGAGTCCCAGCTCCCTGTCTGACTCTGAATCATTCCCTGTGACACAGATTATTCAGCTGTCCTTGGAGGAGATCTCTGAAGGTGTGAATGGAAGTGACACCAAACTGCAGCTGCAAGCCACACGGGCTGCCAGGTATGCACCCAGCTGCCAGTACTGGGAGGAAGGAGGCTGGTGGATCTGCAGTGGGTCCTGTTGGCCAAAGACATTTGTTCCTGATTGAGGAGCTCTTTAGAGAGATGACAATGGGGGAAGGAGCCTGGTAACCTGAACTTTATTCAGGAACCTGAGCTGGTGCCTGTTCTGTGCCCTGCGTGCCATGCTTGATTTTGTCACAGTATTGGGCAGTGCCTGTGGCAGGGCCCTGTGTGGCTGAACCCAACTGAGGGGTTACCTGTGGCTCCCATTACTGTACCTGTCCTGTGCCAGGGATTGTGTTGGACCTCACAAGAAATTGAGTGCCAACTGCTCGGGCAGGACAAGAGCCTGGCTCTAAGGGTCAGTGCTAAGCAGAGCTGTCCCCACAGGGATGAGGACAGAAAGCATCACAGGGTGCCACCATCACCCAGCTGGCAGCAGGGATGTCTCCTGAGGGCCCAGGAGAGGCTGCATCCCTGCTGGTACCTCCATGGCTGGATTGAGCTGTCACATCAGTGATCTATCTGCCTGTGTGCTGGAGGACCAGCACCATTCCCAGTGGCTGTGAGGATGTCAGAGCTTCCAAGGTGCTAACTGGGGACTGGCCGGAGCAGGCCCCTCCTGAAGGGACAAGTCACAACCAGCTCCCTCCCCTGCTGTGCAATGCAGAGGTGGCTTTCTGCCCAGGGTGCCCTGACAGTATAGTGAGCTGTGGGTACCACTGGCAGCACGAACACAGCTCTGAGCTGTGGGTTCACACCTTCACACAACCCTCTGCCAGCACTCCTGAACCAGGCTTGGAAGCAGATCTGGCTGAAAGAATCTTTCTCTGGCTGTCTTTGACTCAATCCATGCCCTGATCCCATCTCCCTGGCAGCTCCATGTGCTGCTGTGCAAGTGTGAGGCAGGAAACAGCAGCAGGGAGTTGGTGACTCTAGTTTTTAGCTGGAAAAGCACCCTGAAACTTCATTCTAAATGTGGGCTCTGGTCTGTGCAGGGCTGGGCAGTGCTGCTGAGCCAGGGAGCAGAGGAAGCTGTAAGACTAAGACCACACATTGTAGATACTGATTTCTCACTGTCTCAAATTCCTGCGAGGTGGGAAGCATGGAATATTGTCATAGTCCTAAAAGGATGTGTGAGGTCTTGCACTCCAAGAGACACCCTGCTGTTGCTTCAGCATCTTCAGCTGTGTCTTTCCTCTCTATAGCAACCCTTTGCTGAGGTGGGATGCTGAACCAGCATCTTTCACAGGTGATGCTTCCCCTGCAAGCCACAGTCTTGTACATGACCACAGGGTTATGGGGTGTGTGACACCACATGGGGTTCTCATGGCAGGCTGTGCTTCTCTCTTGCAGGAGAATGCTGTCCAGGCAGAAGGATTCCCCCATCAATCAGATCATCGAGCTGGGGATCATCCCCAGGATGGTGGAATTTCTGAACCGTGCTGACAATGTTCTCCTGCAGTTTGAGGCAGCCTGGGCACTGACTAATATTGCTGCTGGCAGCTCTGAGCACACTAAGGCTGTGGTGGATGGAGGAGCCATTCCAGTCTTCGTCTCCCTCCTGTCCTCCCCACACATGCACATCAGTGAGCAGTCGGTGTGGGCTCTGGGCAACATTGCAGGTGAGGAGAGGTGTAGGGGCACACAGAGGCTCACTGACTGAGCCAGTGATGGGGAGAAAATATATTGGTGCTCTTCAACATAGCCCCATCTCCCTGCAGCTTTGTCTCCAAGCTGCTGCCCCTACTGAACCCCTTAACCCTTCAGCCCCTTGGTGTGGCCTGGCAGCCTTTGAGACCCTGTCTTGGTTCTGCAAGAGAATTTTGGCCAAAGCCAAGTGCAGGACTCCTCCCTCCTGGGATGGTTTATCCCACTAATGTTATCAGTAGGGAGAATAGGATGGGTCATGTCTGGTTAGCCTGCCACCATTCAGCCATGTTGGCACTCCAGTCTGTCCAGTAAATCCTTCCCACCTGGAAATACCTAATGTATGTCTGGTGGGTCAGCCTGGACACCCAGCCCTGACCCTGCAGGTCTGATGTTTGATGTTGACTGTCTTGTGACTTGGGCAGATGCAATAACCAACCCTTTTTCATCTGAACAGGTGATGGTCCTATCTACAGAGATGCTCTTATCAATTGCAATGTCATTCCTCCCTTGCTGGCTCTAGTGTCACCTGTAACTCCAGTAAATAACCTTCATTTTCTTGACTTAACAGCTCTTAATCACTTGGGTGAATCTGGTCTATCTACAGGCTGTTTGTATAATTGAATCAGACCCTGTCCTAAACGGCTTTTATGGCCCTGCCTATGCACAAAGCTGGGGAGGCCAAGCAGACAGTCTTCAAGTCAGAGTGATATCTTCCAGTCTTGGCTTTCCTATTCAACTTTGACTATCTCAGGCTAGGAATGAGATGAAACTGGTGCAAGGCACGCTTGTATATGCATGTGGAAGGGATGAACTTGCCCTTCAAGCTTCCTCTGACTGCTTTTGGGTAGCTCTAAACTGTTGAATTTGTGGCTTCTCTTTTCACTTCTGCAATGGTGCCTGCCCCACTGCCTTCTGTCTCGGAGGGAGGAGGACTGACACAGGATGGCATAAGGTGGACTGAGAAGCTCTTGGGGGCAGTGAGGATCTTACACCTCCCTTGTGTTTCAGATTGGATTCCTGAGGAACATCACCTGGGTACTGTCAAACCTCTGCAGGAGGAATAACCCCTGCCCTCCCTTGGATGCAGTGCATAAGATAATGCCAGTCCTCATCTCCCTCATTGAGCATGATGACAAGGACATCATCTCTGACTCCTGCTGGGCTATTTCCTATGTGACTGATGGCTCCAATGATCGCATCCAAATTGTGGTGGACACAGGGGTTCTCCCAAGGCTGGTGGAACTCCTGGCCAGCATGGAGCTGAATATTTTAGTAAGGAACAATCAGCAATTTCCTTCCTCTAGTCCCTTAATGTAGAAACATCTGAGGAGAGGGAAGGCACATCTCCTCATTCTTTGTGGTCCCTGTGGTCTCCTGTTCCCTCAGCCTGCAGTACTGACTGCTTGGTTGTTGAGCCGCTGCTCGGTTCCAGCTTGCTGTGGCTGGAGACTGATATAGAGACTCTAAATCTGCTTAGAGCAAACAGGAGGACAATAGGTCTGTAAATAAACAGCAATCACCCACAATGCTCTCCTTATTTGAAGGATCAAGCACTTAGTGAGGGATCTAGCTGGGCTTTCTGACATGTATCCCTTGAGGTAAGGACTCTCCTTATCTCTTTAATCTCTGTCTAGACTCCAGCTCTCCGTGCCATTGGGAACGTGGTCACAGGGACTGATGAGCAGACCCAGGCAGCTATTGATGCTGGAGTCTTGGCTGTCTTGCCCCGTCTCCTGCGACACACAAAGCCAGCCATACAGAAGGAAGCAGCATGGGCACTCAGCAACATTGCAGCAGGGCCTTGCCAGCAGATCCAGCAGATCATCACCTGTGGATTATTGCCACCTTTAGTGGAGTTGCTTGACAAGGTAAGGGCTGGGGGCAGTGCTGCTGTGGGAGCAATGCAGAGGTTCATGAGGTCTGTGGTGCCTCATCTGTGAAGCACTGAGCCCTAGGAGCCACCTAAGCAGGATGTGTTCCAGAGCTGTTGAGATCCTTGGAACAGCCTGGGCACTCAAACTTGTTAGTACACCTGCATGAAAGCATGTCCTGGAGCTATTCTTGGCAGCTCTGCTAGGTGTCCACCCATCACCCAAAGGGCTGAGGAAGGGTGGTCACTCCAAGCTGAGTACAAGGAAGATGGCTATCCTCACCTTGCATTGATCCTAGGGAATGCCTTCGTTGTGCTGCTTTTTCAGGGTGACTTCAAATCTCAGAAGGAGGCTGTGTGGGTAGTGGCCAATTTCACAACTGGAGGAACAGTGGATCAGGTGGTGGAGCTTGTCCGTTCTGGGGTCCTCAAACCTCTGCTCAACCTGCTCTTGTCCAAAGACAGCAAAATTATCCTGATCATCCTGGATACCATTTCAAATTTCTTCCTGGTAAGATCTCCTGGTCATCCTAGGTACCATTTTGAATCTCTTCCTGATAAGATCTCGTCTCCTGAATTCCTTCTCCAAAAGAGCAGTGAGGAGAGAGCCAAATGCTCACATTGTGTGGTTAGAACATAAGCTGCTGCTTTTGGAGTAAGAGACTTCATGTTGTTTAACTTGTTCTTGGATACTCCTGGGTTATCCAAAGGGCTTGCCAAAATTAAGTTTCCAAAGTGTTCATCTTTACCTCCTGCTAGCTGGTTTGGTTGACAGTCAAGCCACTGCACAGTCATCCCAGCAGGGACTCGTTTCCCATACACATGGTAGTCATATCCCTGGCATCAGGCAGGGACTGTAAATGCAGAGGCTGTGATCCTTTGACTTGTAGATCAAGGTTTAATTACAGTAAAGACCACCTCAAACCTGTTACTGATATAATGTTCTGTTTGCTTGCTTGATTTTTCTGGTGTTCCAGGCAGCTGAGAAGCTGGGACAGACAGAGAGGTTGTGCCTGCTGGTGGAAGAGCTTGATGGGCTGGAGAAAATTGAAGACTTGCAAACCCATGAGAACAACATGGTCTACAGAGCTGCCCTGAACATCATAGAGAAATACTTTTCTGGGGAGGTACGTGACCCCTTCGTGTTTCTCTGAAAATATGAAGCTATTATGCACTAGAATGAAACAAATACTGAAATATGTGGAGGTTTCCTCCAAAAACCTGACTAGAGTAGTCCTTGCAGCTTCTTTCAGCTGCTTTTAAAGGTCTGTAAAAGCTCCAAGTTGTCAGCCAATGAGTTGCACAACAGACAGAGATGCCTTGATAGCATCTTGCTGCTGGAATTCAAACTGGCATCAGCTGGAGTTACTGCAGTTACTGATATGAATACCAAATGTGGAGAAGTTTCCTCCTTCAGAGCTGAGCTGGCTTGTCACTATGAATGGAAGCCTCCTACTCAGCTGATAACAGTGCTCAGGTTGCATTTGGATTACTTGACCCTTCTCGTGCTAATAAACCTATGGAAAAAGAGGATAGGACACCAGCTAGGAGCTCCAAGAGTCCAATGACTGCCATGCTTGGTCCTAGTCTTAGTCCTGCAGGGAAGAGGCTTAGAGGTCTGGCAGATCTCAAAGTTGAGGTTCAGTCTAGATGTGAGTTTGGTTTATCCTTTGCCCAGAACAGGGTCTGTGGGATGTCCCTGTGAGAGGGTGTGGATGAAGCTGTCCTACACACCAGCACCTGTGTGAGGGGCTGGATGCCAGGGGGAATATCTCTCCCAAGCAGTCCTGGCTTGTTGCGGTTCCAAGCAGGCTATTTGATTTAAGTTCTGCTCTAGCCAATCTTTTCCTCTACCTCTGATATCTGAATCCATAGCCTTGGCTGCTTTTGTGTGTGGGATGCAGGGACACTGTGGCTTTGGGGTGCTGTAAAGAACAGGAGGACTTGGTCTGGCCTCCAAGGGCTCTGTTAGAGTCAAACTGAGCTTAACAGCTTGTTGCAGCAGCAGAATTGTAAAAACAAGAATAAAACAGTAAGTTGCTGTAAAAAGCTCAGGTTTATTCAGATGCAGACTCTATAACAGATGGATATCACCTTCCTTCTAGGAAAATTCAGACCTGCAGCCTGGCACTGACCAAGATGGGCTGTATGATTTCTCAGTGAAGAAGCAAGACTTCAACTTCTGAAGCTGAAACTCGGAGCTGGTGGGTGAAGGTGCCCTGATAAAGCTCAAATGTCCAAACCACAAAGAGCAGAGATGCGAGTCCTTTTAACTTCTGAAACTTGTCAATAAATTGCACTTCCAGCTTTGTACTTCTTGCCATAATTATTTCTTCCCTCCCCCTTCTTCTACCCCTCTTTAAGCTGCTGTTGGCAAAGGCATAGGTATTTCCATAGAAACTTAAGGCCTTGCAGAACTGTGCTGGAGTTCCTGGGCATGTTTTCTGGGTGAAAACTTTCTTCTAGTTGCATTAAGCTGCTGGGGAGCAGCATCTTGCCACCAAATCCTTGTGCTGAAACTTCTAGTCTTGACTTGAAGTGGCTGAAGTAGCTCTGAAAAACCATTTAAGAAGTTTGAGAGAAGATCCTTCTAGCAGAGAAGGAACTCAGCCCAGAGGAAGGTGGGTCACTGTCTGCTTGGGTGTTGCTTCACCCCACCATTGGAGCAGTGGGGTCTGGATGTGGGAGTTGTTGGGTTAAATGCTGGTCCTCTGGAAGGAAAGTTGTCAGAGGCACAGATAGTACAGTAGGAATGACTCACCTCTGCTGCAGCTTCCCTGATGCTATCCACTAGCCTGGAGCCCATCGATCTGGCTCTGCCTGGAGCTGCCCTTTAATTCTGAGGACCTGTATTTCAGGTTTCCATTGCATGTCACTGCCCCTTGCCCTCCCTCTCTCCAAGCCCTGCAACTGTGGTCTCCAGCTGCAGGTGAGCAGAAGGTGTGAGGATGGAGTTGATGTGGATCTTGAGTCCATGGCACAAGGGTTATGTGCTGTGGGGTCACAACAAACTGCTGGACCACTGCTCTGTCCTTGCAGTGTTAGTGGGGGGTGGAAGGGTCTCCTGGGACACTTCAGTTCCTGGGGCTTGAAGAATCTCAAAGGCTTTGCTCCATGCCAGATGGGTGGTGACAGCTTTCCCTCCTTGCTTCTGTGGGGGGTTTGACTCTTCAAGATGACCCTGGGTGGGCTCAGGGCTTTGCTTCCTAAGCTGCAGTGGGAGGTGATGTGACAGGCAGCTTAATCTCAAGGGAAAATCTTCTCTCCAGAAAGCAGAACCTCTTCCTCCACCCTGGATCTGTTCATCAGAGGATTTATGCCTTTCTCTTCCAGGCCACCCAGGAAAAAGGGAGTTGGTAGTGAAGTCTGGTTGTGCTCCATGCCCTGCAAGGGGGTGTGCAGCCCTGAGTACAGGTGCCAGAGCTAAGTATTGCCTGTTTCCTATTAAAATGCTGGAAATCTGATGGGAATGCAAAGTGCTTCCTGGTTTTCACTTCTTGGATCCAAAACTATGGACTTAAAACATGATAAAGCAATGCCTGAACATGCAGCTGAA